GAAGAGCGCAATGATGGTGCCAACTTGGGCCAGTGAAGCAACGTCCTCCACAACTAGACTGAAGAACAAAAGGACAGCAAATTGTATTTCCTTCTTCCTTCCTTCCTTCCTTCATTCCTTCCTGCCTTTCTTCCTTCCTTCTTTCTTCCTTCCTTTCTTTTTCCCATCCTCCCTCCCTCTTTTTCACACACTGAAGGATTTCTAAAGAATGAAATGGAAATATATACCCTCAATCAGCCTGTAACAAAAACCAGTCCCATAAACCCCAAGTTCATAAATCCACTCAGAATTTGAGCTCCTCAGAATTGCCGCAGCCAAGAGACATCATTGTGAAATTAAAGGATGCTTAATAACCTTGTTGCATTAAATTAGTGGGCACGAAACAGAATGTCAGCACTTCCCATCTTTCCTGCCTGCCCTGTACCCTCTTCTGGTGAGAGCTCTTTCTCTCATCTTGTTATCCCAGCCAGGTGTCATAGCGCAGGGCTGAAGGTAGACACAAGGAAACCTCAGAGCGAGTCTCCCGTGACTTAGTTGGGGAGAAAGTAATTTGCAAAATATTAGGAGATCTTGACTCCTAAAACAGAGGATAATTTATGCACTTGTACATATTCCTTATTCACCTGTTCCAAACCCCTAAGGAGTATACTTTTACTTCAAACAGTCAACTTTATCCCAGTTCTTCTCAATGATTGAGGGAGAGGAGTTATGCTATGCCTGTTTCTAGACTCCTCTAGCAACACAACCACCCATTCTTTGAGAATTCCTGCCATTCTGAGCACTTGTCAATGGGATAGGTCAACCCTTCAAGAATGCTGGGACTTCTGCTATGGACTATACAAGAAGTAAAACTTTGAGACGTAGGGGTGTCTTTCAGTTATCCAGGCTCCACAGATTTAATATTCCCCCAAAGTATTGTATCATTTCCTTCAGTAGGACCTCCCTCTTTTCTCAGTTGAGTTGGAAGAATTCATGTGTTTTGTTCCCCAGCCTGTTGATTCTATTAATTCCCACTTCCAAGTGTACCTTTAATTTCTCTCTAGAATTTCTTTACTATTGGTTTCTCCATCTTATCTTCATCTTATTGTTTAAAAGAGGTGATGTTTGGGAAAGGCCTTGTGTATCTTAGGTCAATATGTCTAATTGAAAGCTGACTCTGGAAATACCTACCATGTTTCCCTGAAAATAAGACCTAACTAGAAAATAAGCCCTAGCATGATTTTTTCAGGATGCTCGTAATAGAAGCCCTACCCCAAACATAAGCCCCAGTTAAGATCGTCAGCCAGACATGACTGTTTGAATAAATGTATATTTTTGTACATGAATAAATGAATAAATGTAGATTGTTGGGGCAAAAATTAATATAAGAACCGGTCTTATTTTTGGGAAAACATGGTAGAAGTTAGGTTGGGAGAAAGGGGATTCTGGTTGTCATAGGTGGAATGACACAATCAGAAAATGTGCCCTCTGGGCCGGCCGAGTGGTGCGATGGTTAAGAACTCGCTTGGGATGCCAGAGGGCCCCGGTTCGGATCCCACATAGGAGGGCCAGTGACACTGCCCTCCACAGCTAAGATGCTGAACAACAGCTCAACCTGGAGCTGGGCTGTCATGAGTCGCCGGCGGCGGCGTAGGCTGCAGTCCCTGTGGCAGTGGGTTGCCATGGGCTACCGTGTGTAGCCAGCAGCCAGNCGGCGACTGATCTGCCTCGCCAGAGAAGAGCACAATGATGGTGCCAGCTTGGGCCAGTGAAGCAACGTCCTCCACAACTAGATTGAAGAACAAAACTACAGCAACTTGTCTGTTTCCCTTCCCCCAATTCCCCAGCGCTGTCCCCCTCCCCGTAATTCCCCAATAAAAAATAAAAAAAAAATCTTAAAAAAAAAAAGAAAAAAAAGAAAATGTGCCCTCTGCTTCTCTTCTGGTATTAGGCTAACTTGCCCAGTATGCTCTGGTATCAGCATTAATTAAGGCAGTAGTTCTCCGTTGCTATCATAGTATTCATAGGAATCACCTGGAGTCTTATTAAAATTCAGATTTCTACATCCTAGCATTTCTGAATCAGTGGGTCTGGGTTGGGGCCTGGGAATCTAAATTTTTAACAAATACTCCAGGTGATTCTGAGGCAGGTGGTGCTCTATACATCTTTTGAAAAATACTGGGTTAAGGGATTATTCGATATTTGGGTCCTTAGAAAAAGTGTTGCCTATGCCTTTCACTACTTTCCTTTCAATGCTCAACTCTCATGGACCCCACCCTCCCACCCCAAATATAGTCAGAGGCTGAGTAAGTTTAAGTTATGCCAACATGTAGTTTGTTTTATATAGAAATAACTTTACATGAATTTGAAATTTTCAAAGTGGCTTTTAACAATCACTGTAATAGATATGGATTTCATTGGCCCAGACTTGGGTGCAATAATATAACTTTTTCACTACCGTATTTCTATTTCAAGTGCTCATTTTGGCTGGTATAGTAACATAAGACTTCAGATAAACTCAGTGATTTCTCACATCATTTCAGGTTTCAAATTCAGATTTTCCTTTATCTTCTCCCTAGGGTTGATAACAAAGCTCCAAGGGCTAACAGTGCAAGTTCAGTGTCAATAGAGTGGGGACAACAACTTCTTGATCTTGATCTTAGTCTTAGGCTGCCCTACTGCTCAAAGGGTAACTTTTCCCATTGTGTCCTCAGCACGTCCCTTTCTAGGCTGGCAATCCACTGACGTGTGATGGTTTCTTCACCCAATCCCCATCAGTACTGTCTGAGCTGCATCTTTGCAGGCCTAGTAGTTCTATCCCTACAAGCTAACTTTGACATCCCACTTGGGGTGAGATGCGGCAATTTGAGAAGTCCTCCCATGCCCCTTTGGAGCCATGGAAAACTCAAGGTGGTTCTCTCTGACCCTCTCATGCTTAGATACCTCATACCGTAATATCTGCTCTGTGATAGCAGGCACCATGATGATATGTAGGCTTTCCCCACGAAGCTCGTCATCTCCCTGAAACTTATGTGGGAATGAGGCACATGCTCTCTCTCTATCCTTGGATCCCCAAAGTTTGAGGGGAACCAACTTTCTTTCACTCCTAAAATTTGACCTGGTGATGGGCAGGATGCATCCCCCTTCCAACAACTCTACAATCCCTCCCTAGTTCTCATCATCTTTATTCTTATTAGGAGGACAGGTAAGGAGGCAGCGGACCATTAGTGTTTGGTAGTATTCATTTCCTGTTGTTTTCTTTTACCTAGATGCATGGCAGTGGGCTGCTGAGGTCTTTGGGGTATATCTGAATGAGTTATAGGGGAAAGCAACAAATTTATCCACATATCCTTAATTTTCTTTCCTCAGCCTAACAGCCTACTTTGGCCTACTCGACATCTGTGGTGCAAAGAGTGGAGAAACAGTGCTGGTTAATGCAGCAGCAGGAGCAGTGGGCTCTGTTGTGGGGCAGATAGCTAAGCTCAAGGTAAGCGTCTTGGGCCGGCCGAGTGGCTCAGTTGGTTAAGAGCTCGCTCAAGAGTTTGAGCTCTGAGCAACAGCGGTTCGCGTCCAGGCCTGAGCTGAGCAGCCGCTGAGCTGCCAACAGGTAGCAGGATGGCTCAGCTTAAAAAAAAAAAAAGGTAAGCGTCTTCCTCCAGCAGCAAACATCGACTCAAAACCCATAGTGTGCACTGGGAATGCAGCAGTGAACACAGCAGACCTTCCCTTGTCTCAGGGAGTTTCGTATGGTGGGTCTTGTTTAGAAGTTAGAGATTGGGAATGATTGAGAAATGGGGGGAATGAGGACAATGGTGTAACAGAGATGACCGGAACGTTATTTGACAACATTGCAGGTATCAAGTCAAGAATGGCCTCTACCTAGAATACTGAGTTTGTAAGCAGTAACCACTCTCATAATTTTTACCGAACATTTCTTGTTACAGCTTAATCTCCTCTCTTCATGACTGCCCCCAACAATAGAAAGAGGGATGTGAGATCAGCCAACCAAAAGTCATTGCCCACATGGTCCCATTACAAAGGCTATGGCAGTCAGCCCAGAGCGGTGGGGTCGCAGCTTGGGAACTAACTCTTGAGAGATACCCAGGACATGGAAACATTGGCTCGGATTTGGGCAGGTGTCTGTGCTCGAGATCTGATCTAATGGTGGGGAAATAAGGCAGCAGGTACCTCAGACACAGTCAGGATGTGTGACATAGTGGGAATGTTCCATTGTCATCTGTCTTGGCTGATCCTTTGCCAGAGGCTAGGATGCAGGATTCAGGACCTAGTTCCTAGGGAAAGAGTTAGGTGGAATACAGCTGAGTACAGGGCTACAACCAACAGCCAAGGATTTGGGCTGATCACCAGTGTGCATGGGAGCTTGGAATGCCAGTAGGAGATGAGGCTCCCATAGAGGCTGCAAGTAAAGTTTATTTAAATAAATCAATAGAAATGGATGTTGAATTTTATTAAATGCCAATTCAGCATCTATAAGGTTAATTTTGCAGTTAATAAGTTATATCAGTTTTTTCAATGTTGAACCATTCTAGCATTCCTGGAATATGCTTTTATTTACCTCTGGTATATTATGGATTTATACCTTTGGATTTGACTTGATAACAATAAATATAATTTTTGCATCTATATTCATAGGTGAGTTTGGTTTAAAGATTTTTGTTCTGAACTTACCAGTGTTTAGCTTTGGGTTATACTAGTTACAAAATGAATTAGTAATATTTCCAACATTCAAATTTTAAATGTTTTATTAAAACTATAAGGGATTTTTACTTCAAAAGTTTGATAGGAATTACCCTTAAACCTATTGTTTCAGAAACTCCACTGGAGACTGCCATGCTAAGAGATTTGTGCTTAATCCTTTTTTCTTTTCTAGTGTGTGTGTGTGTGCGCGCACGTGTGCATGCACTTAATCCTTAAAGGAAGATGATTAGTTTTGCATTTTGGAGAAATCACTTTGGCCTTAGTAGGAGAATAGTTCATAGGGACAATGTAGTAGAGACAAGAAGACCAATTAGGAGGGCTTTAGAATAATTCAGATGAAAATTGTGATGCACTGACAGTGGAGATTGAAAGTCAGAGCCAGCTTTTAAGGATATTTGGTTAAAAATGAATGAAACCCTGGTGATTGGATGTGGGTGATAAGGGGAAGAAAAGCATATCCTGTGAGCCACGTTTCAGGTTTGAATAACTGAGTGGTATCATTCACTACAATGGAGAATAGAAGAGGAGCACCACGTAACAAGCAAGGAAAAAAAATACATTTGATTTTAGACAATTGTTTATGAGGTAGCTACAGGCTATCCAAGTGCTGACTCTTATAGGTTATTGGAAATACTGATTTGGAGCTCACTCAGGAGAAAGGCATGTGCTGGAGTTCATCACTAAGGAACTCCTGCATGAAAGAGGCAATGAGATCCCAGGAACAAATGAGATCATCCTGTGAGAGATTATAAGGTTAGAAGGAAAAAGGACAAAGAATAGAGCTTTTGCAAAATAGTTTTTTCTTGAATCATGAGGAATGGAAAAAGTATATGGCAGTCACTTTTTGTACAGATACATGTATGAACCCAAAGGTCCTCCCCTAATAGAAAATGCACAGTGGCTCATAATCTGGTTTTCACAATACATTCAAAATAGGAGAGCTTTCTGAAGAGCTACATTCTACGTACCAATATAATCTCATCTCATCCTGAAAGTGCTTTTCAGTATGCTCTCCAGTTCCTCTCTGATTAAGCAGCGTCTAGTCCAATGCGTTGGGCCAAATCAAAAAACAAAGGGGCAGTTACGAGTGCTGTCTGTAATATGAGTCCCACAGCTGAGCCAAAAATAATAGTCTAAAGAACCACTGCACCAAGCAATAGCATGCAAATCATGGCAAGGGAAGAAAAGCCCCAACATAAAGAAATGAGTCAAATGAATGTTGTCAAGCCAGCAGGTTGAGATGAACTGCAAACCACATAAACCTAGAAAGGATCTGTTGGGCCATCAGAGGCAAGCTGAAGTCATGGTTGGGTTGCAGGCTGGCTCAGGGACTAATTTCACTTCTAGGACCTTTCTGCCCATCATGGTATCCTCATGTATGTGACTTAGCACCTAGGAGGGTGCTCTTGGGGAACCTGAGCATACTACACTAGGAGGGTAGAGTTTGTCCATGCTTGTGGCTTGTAAATGGCTTCCCTTTTTCTCCCCATTTAGGGCTGCAAAGTTGTTGGAGTAGCAGGGTCTGATGAAAAGGTTGCGTACCTTAAAAAGCTTGGATATGATGTCGCCTTTAACTACAAGACAGAGTCTTTGGAAAAAGCTCTGAAAAAAGCTTCTCCTGATGGTTATGATTGCTATTTTGATAATGTAAGTACAAATTAGACTTAATATCTGATTTACTAACAAAGTACTGTACAAGGAAATATACTTCTGGAGTTTCCATCTAAAATATATAAAGAAGTACATGTGCTTTTTTTATTTTTAATGAATCTTTTTTTTTTTTTTTAAGATTTTATTGGGGAATTGGGGAAGGGAAGGGGAACAGCCAAGTTGTTGTCCTTCAATCTCAGTTGTGGAGGGCACGGCCAGCCCAGCTCCAAGTCCAGCCGCCATCCAGCTGCCCTTCAGTGGCTCGCGGCCGCTCAGCTCAAGGTGCTGTGTTCAATCTTAGTTGCGGGTGGGCATAGCCCACCATCCCATGCAGGAGTTGAACCAGCAACCTTGTTGCTAAGAGCGCACACTCTAACCACTGAGCCATCCACCCACCCATTGGCAGCTCAGCTTGGGCGCAGCTCATTGGCCCATGTGGGTATCGAACTGGCGACCCTGTTGCTCAGAGCCCGCGCTCTTAACCAACTGAGCCACTCGGCCGGCCCGACATGTGCCTTTTATTTAAAAAGAGCTTTATTGAGATATAATTCACCCATTTAAAGTGTATAATTCATTGGTTTTTGGTATATTCACAGAATTGTACAACCATCACCAGAATCAGTTTTAGAACATTTTCATCACGCCAAAAAGAAATGTTGTACTCATTAGCAGTCACTACCCACTGTCTCCCAAAAGTGGTCTTTTGTAACTGGCTTCTTACAGTTAGCATGTTTTCAAGATTCATCCATCTTGTAGCATACATGCTGTAGCATGTATCAGTACTTCATTCCTTCTTATGGCCAAATAATATTCCATTGTATTGATGTATCACATTTTATTTATCCATTCATCAGTTGATGGGCATAAGAGTTATTTACACTTTTTGGATACTATGTATAATGCTGCTATGAACATTCATGTACAAGTTTTTGTGTGGATATGTTTTCATTTCTCTTGGGTATACACCTCCAAGTTGAATTGCTGGGTCACATGGTAACTCCATGTTAAACATTTTGAGGAACTGCCAAACTATTGTGCAAAATGGCTGCATTAGTTTACATTCTCACCAGCAATATCTGAGGGTTCCAATATCCCCACATCCTTGCCAAAACTTATGATCTTTCATTTTGATTATGGCTATCCTAGTGGGTTTGAAGTGATAATTTCACTGTGGTTTTGATTTGCATTTCCTTAACGGCTAATGATATTGAGCATCTTTTCATGTGCTTATTGACCATTCATATATCTTCTTTGGAGAAATATCTGTTCAAATCCTTTGCCCATTTTTCAACTGGGTTATTTGTTGAGTTTAAGGCTTCTTTATTCTGAATTCAAGCCCCTTATCAGATACAGTCAGATCTTGGTATTCCTTGTAGTTATGTTCTATAAAATCACCACAAACACTGAACTATTCATTGTTCCTAGGAAAAGTATGTACATATACTCGTATGTACATATCTCACATAGATTACAATCTTAAATCCTAAAGCAACTTTTCCTATAGCTTCCATTTTCTTTATTTTATGAGACTATGAGGTTTGGACAAGTGTGAAGTAACTTTCCTGAGGCTGCCCCACTAACTAACCCTCCCAGAGCTGGGATTCATATGCCATCCAACTGGCCCGAGCCAGAGCTTCTTGAACTACACTGCACTGCCCCCTACTGTCTTCACCCTCTGGTAATCTCTATGTGACAGCCTAAAAAAGAAGGCAGAACCGGGGGCCTTTTTGACCTTAGCTGGGAACTTTGCATCTCTTTTGCTGCTCTGCATGTGTCTGCAAATGACCAGGGAAAGCTCTATGAGTACTGGTTTGGGGGTTAGAAATAAATTTTTGCAAATAGTCCATTTCGCAAACACGGAACCCACTAATAATGAGGATTGACTGTATATGGTTTGCAAATATTTTCTCCTGTTCTGTAAGTTGTCCCACTTTCTTGATGGTGTCCTTTAAAGCACAGGAGTTTTCAATTCTGATGAAGTCCAATTTAATTTTTCTTTTGTCACTTGGGCTTTTGGTGTCATGTCTAAGGCTTTACCTTACTCAAGGTCATGAAGATTTACTCCTTTGTTTTCTTTTAAGAGTTTTAGCTCTTTTATAAATTTTTTATTTTCAGGTGTACAAAACAATATAATAGTTAGACATTTATACCCTTCCCTGATCTACTACCCCTCTGAGATCGTATATAGCTGTTATTAGTTCCACTGACTCTATTCCTTATGCGGTATTCCACGTCCTGTGAATATGAATGAATAGTTTTAGCTCTTACATTTAGGTCTATGATGCATTTTAAGTTAATTTTTTTATGTGGTGTAAGGAAGGAGTGCAATTTCATTCTCTTCCATGGGTATCTATTATCTAATTGGTCTACACCATTTGTTGAAAAGACTATTTTTTTCCCTTATTGAATTGTTTTGGCACTTTTGTTAAATTCAATTGACCACAATATAAGAGTTTTATTTTTGGATTCTCAATTTAGTTCTATTGATCTATATTTCTGTTCTCATACTGTCTTGATTAATATAGCTTTGTAGTAAGTTTTGAAATTGGAAAATGTGAGTCCTCTAACTTTGTTCTTTATATGCCATTTGAGTGCTTTCCCACGCTTTTAGATAGGGCAATGAGGTTATTGAACTGATTCGAGAACCTCACAATATAATAAAGTAAAATTTATAAGTTATGTTCCTACAGTAAATGGAAATGCCCAGTTTCTAATGTCTTTTTCCAACTGCAATTTTCTTCACTATTTTACTGATTCAATCAGTTTGTTGCTGCTAAAACAAGTGATATGAAATGATGATTGTGACTTAATGATGCTCCTGAATCTTCTAGTGTTTACATTAAGGGTGTTTTGTTTTGTTTTGTTTTGTTTTGTCCTGTCCTGTTCAGGTGGGTGGAGAATTTTCAAACACTGTTATTACCCAGATGAAAAAATATGGAAGAATTGCTATATGTGGGGCCATCTCTGTATATAACAGAACTACCGCACCGCCCCCAGGTAATCAACTCATGCACGTGATCACAGGTGTAGAAAGACTATACAGGAAAAAGCTTCAGATATGGTATCAAAATATTAAAAATATTTTAGTGACTATCAAAATATTTTAAATATTTCCTGATATGCTTGGTGAAATAGTATTTATTAAAATAAAAATAAGTAATTTTATATATTTGTGTTACATCGACATATTAGATTTTGTCAGAGAGAAATAATAGGATCTGAAAATATGGAAGAAACACTTAACAGCTATTAAAAGTTTTAGTTTTCTATCTATGGTTTCCTGCAAAGCTGTAAAAAAACAGCCATGATTTCATTTAGAAACAGAACACCGTGCTTGATCTAGCTGGTAAAACATTGGGGTTCTTCAGAATAGTCAGGATATTGCTGGAGGTGTAGGGATGGGTAGAGGGGGACTTGAGGTGGATGGAGGGAAAAACAGGCCGCCATTTCCTTCCATCAGTCTTGGACAGTACTTCCTAATACAGCAGGACACCCTGGCGTGAGTCACCAAACTGACAATTTCCACTAAAAGGGAAAGGAGCATGCATTTCCCCTCCTTTCCTTGATTGTCCTTGTTTTGTTTCCATGCCTGGCCATGCCCTTCATTCCCAACTTCTCCGCTCTTCTGCTGAGACCGCCCTCTCCCACCTCCATCCTGAAAGCAGTGTCAACTAGAGAGCCACATTCATTAGATCCCATCTCTGCATTTTACTGATGGGGAGATGAATGGTGGAGAGAACCAGAGACTCTTTAAATCCTATTAGTGACAGACTCAAAGACAGGTCCTCTGAATAACTCATATGGAGTCTTTTTCTGCTATAATTCTATACTGTTAGTGAGATTCCAGATGTATCTGTGGTCTAATAAAAGGAGAAAGAACAACAAACAGGAATCTTGCAGATTATCACCAGGATTAGGCAACCATAAATAAATTGGTTATTCCTTTTATGGTGGGTTTGACTCATGGAAAGGAAGCCATATAGCCCTGCTAGTTAACCACAAACAATTGCATTGAGACAAGCGGGCAGGAGTGGGAGGGGCTGAGGAAAGACAATTTGTAGCTTCCCTCTTGGACTGTGAAAAACCAAAGACATTACCTTCTCAAAGGAAACTCTAGGTTCACTTGGCCATCTTCTGGTTAGGGCCCTTTTATTACTTACGTTTTTCTAATTGATGCTACACTGGAATCATGAGAAATCTTTTGCCCGCCAATTGAGCAAAGCTCCAGGATGCATTTTCTTGACCACAGTTCAGTTAGGTAAAGCCAAGTATTTCAGATCCAATAACTTGATCTAGTCTTTTTTAGCAATTACTCTTTGGAAGCTTAGCTGCTCAGATAGGTCTCTGAGACATCAGCTGGCCTTATCCATGCCATTTTAATCAGATAGGATTCTGCCCTGCCTCTGATCTCCAGAAATTCTAACATACTTCACAGTTAGGATAGCTGAGAGACTAGCAATTATTCACCCCAACTTGAATGCCAAGTTTTTTTGTTGTTTTTGTTCTCAATAAAGAAACCCACATTCCCATCAGGGTGGACAAGCCCAGAAACAGTATTGGGTTGTTGGAAAAGTCATGACGTTATTTTTTCTGTTTTTCGTTGCAAAAATGCGTCATGACTTTTCCGACAACCCAATATTTCATCCTCTTCCAAATGAGTAAATGAGGATTCCAATCCTTAACCCAAAAAGAATATGGTTGGTGTGGGTCTTTTCTGAAGCAGCACCTTTCCTACAAGACCAATCTATTATAGCATTTGGATGTGTCACCCTTTTATGTCACCCTCATGTCTCACTCATTTTGCATCAGTTTCTTTTAGCTCAGGGAAAACTCTATTTTTCTGACTGCTAATGTAACCTTCTTCAAAGCAGTGAGTGGGATTCCAGTTATCAAAAATGCTAAAAACACATCCTGCCACTCACCTTGACTCTTCTGGCCCTGACCGGCCCTGACTTCCTGGAACTTGTAAGACTATGCTCAGGTGTCATTTTCCCCATTTCTTGTCACTTAAGATTCTTGAGAAAATAAACCAGACAATGAATACAACCTTTTCTCTTTCACACGGAAAAGTACTGCCTTACAGGCTGCAGAATAGCCTTGTGCTTTTTCTAGGCCTGTGGTTCACAAAGTGTGAGCCCAAGACCAGCAGAATCACCATCTCCTGGGAACTTGTTAGAAATACAAATTCTTGGGGCCTACTCCACAACAGAAATAGGGGGGAAGGGGCCCAGCAATCTCTCTTCACAAGCCCTCCACGTGATGCTGATACACTAATGTATGAGATCCACTGTTCAGGCTAACTCTTGGTACCCCGAAATGGGGAGGACAGGGGCAGGTGGGGGAGTTGTCAAGCCTCTTGATCTCTCTTATTGGCTCTTAGGCCAGGGGTGGACACTAGTTCTGCATCTCCTCTGAGAGCAGAACAGAAGGAGATAGGTTTATGCCATAGAATAAAGGAGAACATGCTAAGTATTGGGACTGGGCAGGTATTCACTCTTGAGTAGTGCAGACATCTTTTCATATGTCACCTTCAAGGCCTCTTTCTGTTCCGTAGAACTATTTGGGAAGTTTGTGGTGGGCCTCGCTTCTGGCGCATGAGGGATGAACACTGCCAGACTGGCTGGCCTGTGCAAGGACTCCGAGTGAGTTTCTTATGGCTGCTGTAGCAAATCACCACAAACTTGGCGGCTTAAAACAACACACAGTTCTGGAGGGCAGAAGTCTAAAATGAGTCAGCAGGGCTGCGTTCCTTCTGAAGGCTCAAGAAGAGAGTCTGTTTCCTTGTGTTTTCCAGCTCCTAAAGGCTGCATTTCTTGGCTCATGGCCCCTTCCTCCATCTTCAAAGCCAGCACATAAGATCATCAAATCTCTCTGATCTCTGCTTTCATTATCACTTTTTTTTCCCCCCCAGACTCTGACTTTCCTGCATCCCTCTGTTCCTTACAAGAACCCTTGTGATTATATTGGGCCCACCGGTAGAATACACAATAATCTCATCTCAAGGTTCTTAAGTGAATCCTATCTGCCAAGTCCCTTTTGCCATGTAATGTAACATCTTCACAGGTTCTGGTAATTAGGATACGGACATCTTTCGGGGCCATCACAGGGTGAATGTTGATTTGTGGGCAGCCCCTTGGATCAGAAAAGGGTGGCGGGAACGGAAGGGGGCGCACTAGAACAGCGATGTGACTTCTGGTGCTTGTTTTCACCACAACCACCTCCCTGGACTCTGCTGCCCAAATGTTCCCTCCTCTTCACAGGCCCGCCCCCAGAGATTATTATCTATAAGGAACTCCGCATGGAAGGGTTCATCGTCAGCCGCTGGCAAGGAGATGTTCGTGAGAAGGCTCTGAAAGACTTGCTGCAATGGGTCTCAGAGGTAAGGGACTCCGGAGCCACTCCCTCCAATTGCGCACAAGCTCTCCTTCCCTTCGGATGCTGTAGACTTCATTCCCGCTGCAGATACAGAGCATCTCACTGCCCCCCATACCAGAATACCCAGAAGTGTTGTCTACACTTACTGTCTGCCGTTCCCCTCTTTCCATTCTTTCTTAAACCTGCACGTCAGGCTTTTGCACTGGTCACTGGGCCTCTTTTCTTCTCTATCCACCCCTCAGTTAGGTCATCCAGGCTCATGGCTTTAAATATCGGTATGCTGACAGCTCCTAAATGTGTGCCTCCCTCCTGGAGTTCTCCTCTGAGCTCTAGATTGCTCAACAGCTGCACTTGGGTGTGTGAATACACATCTTCAACTTAACGTGTCAAAAATTAAATACATTTTTATCTTTCCTGCCAAACCTGCTCCATATATAGACCTCGCCCTCTTGGGTATGGCAGTTCTATCCTTCTCGTCGCTCAATCCAAAAACCTTAAAGTCTTCTTTGATTCCTTTCTTTTTTTCCTACCCACATCTACTCTGTTGGGGAATTCTAGTGGTTCTACCTTCAGAATACAACACAGAGTCTGAGCGCTCCTCCCACCTCCATTCAGCTGCCGCCCTGGCCCAGGCCATCATCTTGTCTAGCCTAGATGTTGCGGTAGCCGCCACCTGGCCTCCTGCCTTTTGTGCCCCTACAGACAATTCCCAACACAGCAGCCAGAATGACCTTTTAAAGCATAAATTAAGCTATGTCATTCTTATACTCAAAAACCTATAGAACTCCCCTTTCCGATTAGAATAAAACCGATAAGGCGACACATGACCTGGGCCCCCATTACCTCTCTAATTTCATTTTTTAGTGTTTACTCCCTTTGCTCACTCTGCCTAATCCCTCCCCTCATCGCTCCACCCCTCTGTAACTGCTTAATTCTCTCACCTCCTCCACATCTTTGCTAAAAAAACTTGCCTTATGAGGCAACTTTTAAAATGACCTGATTTTAAATTGCAATCCACCTTCATTTTTTTTTTTTAAAGATTTAATTGGGGAATTGGGGGATGGGAACAGCGCTGGGGAATTGGGGGATGGGAACAGCGCTTGAGAATTGGGGGAAAGGGAACAGACAAGTTGCTGTCCTTTTGTTCTTCAGTCTAGTTGTGGAGGACGTTGCTTCACTGGCCCAAGTTGGCACCATCGTTGCGCTCTTCCTGGGTGAGGCAGATCAGTCGCTGGCCTCTGGATGGCCGCTCACGTTGGCTGCTGGCTACATACAGTAGCCCATGGCAACCCACTGCCACAGGGGCTGCAGCCTATGCGGTCGCCGGCGACTCACGTCAGCCCAGCTCCAGGTTGAGCTGTTAACAGTTCAGCATCTTAGCTGTAGAGGGCAGTGTCACTGGCCCTCATATGTGGGATCCGAACTGGGGCCCTCTGTCGTCCCAAGCCAGTTCTTAACCATCACACCACTCAGCCGGCCCCACCTTCATTCTTGACTTTTCATATCTTACTTTTATCTATAGCAATTGTCACCTTTTAACATAATATATACTATAATTCACTTCTTTATTGTATCTATTGCCTGTCTCCCTCTCATGAGAATGTAACCTTCATAAAGGCAGCGACATTCATGCATTTTGCTTTCTGATGTATCCCCAGCACCTGGAATAGTGCCTGAATCAATGAAGGAATGAATGTTAGAGGGGCACGTATTTGTGCCATGGCTCTAACAGGTTCTACATTAGAAACTCTTCTTACAGCCAGGCCTTTAGATCTGAGAAAGAAGCCAATCCCTTTGCCCTGTGCTGTGATCATTTCCCCACCAAAATCATGCAGAGTTTTAGTCAACAGAAATCAGAATAACCCAGGTGCGTTATTTTCGTTTCAGAGGGGAAAAGTGGTATCACACTTCGTAATTCCTGGCTTTATGATTATTTCCCAATTCAAAGAAATAGATTGCTCCTCTGGCAACCACTGGAGGTTGGCGTTTGGCCCAGTCGAACACTTAAACTGCCAGGCTGGGCTCTTTCCAGCAAGCTGGGAAGAGCTGAATTTTTTTTAAGTTCCCAACGTGTAGCCTCTTCGTCCCTGTTGGTGAAATTGAATCTAGCCCTTCCATGATCACAGCTGACAGCAAGAAACCACTGTGCTGCTGTCCCTAATGCCTCCAACAAAGTAAGCCTAATTATAGTTTTAAGTAGTGAGTTGGCCTAATCTCTCTCTCATCTACTTATTTTTTTCCTTGTCCATCTCCCTTTTTTAAATACACCTTTTATCTTAGTTTTAGATTTACAGAAAAATCACAAAGATAGTACAGAGTGTTCGCATATACCCCACATCCTATGCCCTAATTTCCCATATTACTAACATTTTATATTAGTATTCCTCCTCTATGTTTAACCTTTAAACTGGATTACAGCTTTCAACCCTTTCCAGGTACTTTACCTCTTCAAATGCAGGAATGCGTTTGGGCTTTCTAGTCAAAGGTTCAAATTCCAGCTTCCCACTTACTAGTTGAGTGACTTCAAGCTAATGGTCCCTCCGTAAATCCATAGAGGCTGTTAAACCATCATTAGAATATGTGAGGGGGAAAAAACGGTATCGGGTCACTCAGGTCTCCAGATAAGACCCCTTAAAAAAAATTGAAAATGTGAATTAGTTTCACTTAGTGGACTGTGCCTTGTAGTAGAAGAGAATGAAAAACCTTCCCCACGAAATGAACCCTTCCCTCCCACACTCCTAAATGAATGTTCAACATATTGAAAGACTCTTGGCTTGAAGGGAAGAGATTATTAGAGCACCATGGTATTTACATTTCCCGAACAGGCTCTGCTTCTTCAGGGGCCAAACAGAGGCAACGAAGCTACATCACTGGAAGGATGAAAGCAGATAATATCCTAGAAGTGTGCTTATTTCTCCATCTACTTCCACCTCTTCTGAGATCATTACATTATTAAACTTCTTTTTGTATAATTTACTTAGAAATTACTTCCTCACTTTTATTGTTATACTGTGATCTGACGCCTATTATTAAATTCTTATGTGTGCTCTGTAACATTACATACACTGTGTATGTAGATCATGCCCCCAAAATGACTAAGTTCACAGAGTAAAAGGCCACCATTTTACAGTTCCAAGTTTCCTATGATGTACCTGATAAATTTAAAATATGATACTAATCTATTATATTTGTTTCGATACAGGGTAAAATCCAGTACAATGAATACATCATTAAAGGATTTGAGAACATGCCAGATGCATTCATGGGCATGCTGAAAGGAGATAATTTGGGGAAAACAATAGTGAAAGCATGAAAAAAGTGACACATGGAATCTAGAAATCATTTCAATGATTACCAAATTTCAAGTAAATTTCATTTCAAATGATAAAATTCAAAATTTACTAAATTTTACCATTTAGTAAAAAAAATGTATACTGCCTCCATGATCTTAAAAATAGTGATTGTAATGAGTCTGATCTACCTAATCAAGTACATTGAAGCAGTATGTAATTAGCAACATAATAAAAATCTCAGTGAACAAACAGCCAGTCCGCTCAATGCCTACTACAGCTCCTTCTGGGTTATGGTAGAAAATAATGGTTTCGGGGTTCAAAAGTTTACTGCCTCTGTGACCGTGAACTTCTGATTTTTCATCTGCAAAGTAAGGACAGTGACATCTGCTTCATATACATATTATACATTTATTTAAAACACCAGCATGATGCCTGGCATATATTGAGTACTTGGTAAGTGTTAGCTACCTCCCTGTAGAAATTGGTGAATTTAAAAATCAAGATTACCACCCCTATTGCTTATGATTACACAAGAAATAAGCATGGCTAATGTGCAGGGGTCTCAGGGCAGCCCACACTATTCCTCTGCAGGTGAGTCTAATAATATGACAGACCAAGGACAGAATCTATCATTCACAACAGCTACAAAAAAGATAACACATGGGAATGAATATATATATGTATGCCTACCAAAATGGCGAGTTACATGAAGAATGCTTTAAAACATCAGTAATGAGGAACACGAAAGACTTGGGCATATGGAGAGATACCCCTGGTATAAGAAGATTCGTTAAGAAGATGCTGATTCTGTTGATCAATTCTGCCAGCAAACAGAGGAGGTTAAAATGGTAGTACAATGAAAACATGAGAGAAAAAAGTGTGTGTGTGTGTGTGTGTGTGTATTTAACTTCTACAAAGATTAATAAACTACTGATAATATGGTTTCCAAGAAAGAGAGCTCAGGAGTGAACTGAGGGACAGGACTAAGAAAAACTTTACACTGTATATAACCTTTTGAATTCTGAGTCTTATGAACAAATTATTTACTTGCTATTACAAATGCAATTAAAAAGTAATAATCCCTGCCCTTTTGTGTCCCCTTCCCATATATGGGAAGTAAAACGTGTGAGATAAAACTCAGGAAAGTGAGCAGGCACCCCTAAGATTGAGCACCCCCTGGTGGTAGTAACACTCAAACTTGCCCACACAGAGCCTCCAGCAATTCGCTGATGAGTTGGTTTTCCTACCCTGGTACTTACTGTTTTCCATGGAGTGTTCAGCTCTTAGGCTTCTCGTCCAGTAACCAGTGATGCTCTGTCTGACTCACCAACTCTGTAGGCAGTGGTTTGCCCTGTGACCTCAGTTCACTGCTAGATCTAAAAAGCTGGTTTTTTTCGTTCGTTAAACTCTTGTTAGAACAGAGTGGCGACTGCCAAATGCAATACGTGCCAGACCAGAAACCAGAGGTCAAGAGCATCCATTTTTAATTTTGTTAATATTTATCCTTTTTTCTTTGATGATTAGTGCTTTTAGTTTTTCACTTAAGAAATCTTTGCCTAGCTCAAGGTCATGAAATTTTCTCCCATAAATTATTTCTAAATGTTAGTTTTATTTATGTTAGATCTGTGATAGAGCAGATGCTAACTGCAAAGGGGCAAGAGAGAATTTGCGGAGGGGGGTGATTTCAATATTCTTTTGGGGTGGGAATTACATATGGGTAGACATTTGTCAAAACTCATAAAATGGTTCACTTAAATGCGTGCATCATATATGTCAATTACACCTCAATAAAGTTAATTTTAGAAAAGAAGAAAAACACGTCCAGTATAAAATGTAGGCTTGCTTGCTACTAAATTGCTAGGGGCTCCTGGCTTAGGTGGAAAGAGAAAATACAATAAAGTCAAAATATGTAAGATCCACAACCATAATATTCATACTTCGTGGGAAAGCCTCTCATGTGGGCATTAATATATTTTTCAACTTAGGAGATGGAACACAGCTCTTCATGTTTCCTCCACTCCCATCTACATCTCTTTCTAGAATTTATTTTAGTCCCAATAGTAAGATAGGTATCCATTTTTATCTTTAATATGTATTCTATTCATAGGTACTTGGCTATTGTGGAGTAGGCAGAAGAAAGCTACGTGGTGGGATGGGAGTTGGAGTTCAACCCCCTTATACAGACTTTTCCTTAATCTCCTTCTGGAGAAATTACACTGCTCCAAGAATGATTTTGACATTGACATTTACGGTCCAAAAAGGAAAAAACTAAGCGAACACCCAGTCACCTATCACAAGCCCACAAACTGACCTGCTGTTCCCACGTACTAAAGCTTCTAACACACAGACCCTGGACTTTGAGTTGGAAACACTGACCAAATCCAACTTTGGATCGTCTCCTTTGGGGAAATCAAGTACGCACTATGCACAGGGTGAATGTAAGGGTGTGCTCAGGAGGACGGGCTGTGGCAGAAGCAATCTATGTGCAAACAATGAAGGAACACTGTATTTCCCAGCCTCTCTTGCAGTTACGTTATGGTCATACGAATTGATTTCTAGCCAATGGAAGAAAGTAGAGGTGGTTTCTAAGCCAGAGTTTCCCAAATTTTCTTGGTTACAGCATCCTTAGTACCACAATCATTTTTTTACAATACCCGAAAGCCAAAAGAAATCCCTGACAGTTCCATTTGCTAAATTGGTCCAAACAACATAATAGTAGCAGTTGGTGCCATGTCCAATGGTTACAGGTGTGTTTTCCTAAAATTTTAAACATCCTGGGAAGCCCCTGTGAGTTCACTATAGTACCCTGGGACACCCTGGCACCCAGTGGGGACCCAAGGTTCTGTTCTAGGCCAGTGCTTTAAATACATTGTGTAACACTCCAGTTCCTGCTTTCCCTCCCTCTGGGAACTTGCAGATGGCAGAGCTACAAAATGTCAGAAAGCAATAAAATGTTTGAAGGATGCTTGGGAAATAAACTTATGCTGAGTTAAGTCACTTTGATTTTTTTGGGTTCTCTATGGCTAGCATTGCTTACTTCAATTTCATACTGTCCAATATGGTAGACATTTAAGGCTACTGAGAACTGGAAATATGGATAGCCCCACATTTCAAGATTTAAAAAACAACAAAGCACCGTAAATATTTTTTCCATTAAACACAACTTTATTGTTTTGGTAGAACTACAATTCATTTTAACTGTTGTATCGCATACGACATTGTTGTTGTATTATAATACTTGTACAGGAACGTGCATTATTTCTAGTATTACACATAAACACTTCACCAATCTAATCAGTATCAGTAGATTGATTCACTTCAGGTGATTGTTTTCTCTGCACTGAAGTAACATCACAATGTGTTTACTTGGATATTTAATGTACACAGCACAAGTTATAGTATGCTATGCAGACAGCACAAGTTGTAGCAATACCTATGCAAATCATAATCATAAACAGAGATACTACTTCAATTATAATATAATTATTTTCTAGGTTAAAAAAATACAAATATTTAAATTTTAAATGAAGGCATATTACTGAGGCAGAATTCAGCCAGTGCAACACAGAAGCTAGTACTACGACTAGTACAGGAAAGAAAATAGGAGTGGAAGAGGGTATAGTACATATTCAATGACAAATGGCAATTGCAAGTTACTGCAGGCACGGCAAAATGAAAAAGCTATTTGTTGTATACCAAAGTGTTAAAGATACTACACTAGATAACATTTAAAATGATACCTAATATTTAGTCCTTTTTCAGCAATGATCTAGTGAGTTTGATTAGTTTCTTCTAATTGTCAAAAAGAACCCATGAAATTAGTCATACGAGAACTAAATTTCCAACAAAAAAACTTCAACTTTTCACAGGATTTGAGCTTGTAAACTTGGCTATAAAACAGTTTGAATTCCTGCACACACACACAAATAAAAAGAATCTTAGATGGAGAGATGATTAAAAAATAAGTTATTTTAGTTAGGGTGATTCAGTTAGAAATTTATGAAGAAAAAACTTTAAAAGGCATTTACAAATACTGAAATTTTCAACTAATCCTCTAAGTGATTTTGCTTATAGAATATAAGAAGTTTCTAATCATATCAAAGATATTGGTTCAAAATTTGAAAAATTTTAAGTATTCATCTTTAGATTTAAATGACTTGTATAATATGACACCACCCAATGAAAACTTTGGGTATATTTTGTCTCAAAGAATATCCAAATTTACAAAGAATAGTCAATTTATTGTCTAAAACCTCGAACTCATGACAGATATTTTTGACAATTTTCCATCTGTCAAAGAAAAATTTCAACAAGATAGAAAAATTTGTCTCTATCGTAAGAATGAGATTTCAGCTATCTTATGTCAAAAGACCAGATGTATTGGAATTTTTAAAGAGAATGTTTCCCTCATTGCTTTGTTTCACTGTCTGATACTGAAAATATCTGTGCTCCATTTTCTGAAGCAGACTCCAAAAAAAGGGTCATGGTTACAGATGTTATAATTCTTCAGTATATATGTGAAAATGCTATAAAATAATCATTGCCAGTTTATGGAACTATTGAAGATATTCTTTGGTTGAGTTATAAAATGATTTTACAAAGATTTCCTGTACTAGGAATTCGAATTCAAGATTTTCTTGGAACAAAAGAAATGACTGCCAAATATTCAATAATCAAAGACAAAAAGGGGCAGTGCAATTCATGTTTCTCCCTAATATCACACTGCATATGAACGAGCTAAAATTTGAAGGTCATTAGAACAGGAAAAACTTGTAACCTACGCACTGCAAAAATTTTAGTTAAAAGTGAAATATTTCGTAATACAATTTAAATGTAATCAATAGCATTGTATAAACTGGCAGCAAAAAAAGACAAATGTGAAGAATGATTTGTTGATAAATTTAGTTTTGTTTCCATTTATGCAACCTTGCCAAATTTGATGTTAATAATACCGAGTTGACACAGTCAGTGAATTTACTTAAACATAGTTTTGAAACTGATATGCTTTTGCTTCAAAATCAATTCTTCTAATAAAAAGATGAATAGTTTTGTCAATGTAGATGAAAATTTCAAAGGGAAATCATTTTTTGATACTTGATCCAGTTATTGGAAAACTAAGTATATTTAGAGAAACAACAAAGTATGTTTGCAAGAATTATATAAATCTACTTATCAGCTCTAAGTTTTACAAATCTAAATGTGGATCAAGTATTTCAAATGAAAATTTAGTGTCTGAATCAAGGTGTGCTGC